AGGTTTTTCAGAAGCAGCATAGCATTGAGTCATGAGTTTCAACACCTCAGATGGGCCCTCCCTGGCCTGCTCTGTGTGTCTGTTCCTTGAGTGTTCTTCTGTGTTCCTGCTCTTTACATCCCCAGTGCATGGTTCCATCTGAACTCATCTCAGTTTGTTTTCTGTATTATCTTCTCAACTATTTGTGCATAAACCCCAGATGTGGAGGAGCCTTGTCTATGCAGTATCCCAGGAACATTGGCAAAAATGTTGGATAAGGCTTGTTTGAAAAGCAGAAATGAGGAAGTTACAGCTGTCAGGGACTGAGTACATGCTGCATGTCCAGCTTTGTACCATGCACTTCCTACAATTATCTCAGCAAATATAATCACATGTTTTGCTGCTTAATAAACTATCATAAATCTTAGCTTAGGCTGACCACCATAATGAGCTCACTGTTCCATGGCTACAAGTTTGGACTTGGTGCCTGTGGATTTCTACAAGTGTCTGCTGTTAGCTAAGAAAGTCCTCTAAGGGTAGGGGAGTTACCTGGGCCATGTGGCTCATTATCAAACCAGGTGTTATAGTTTTAGTCACAAAGGGGGTGGGGTATCATGGGGTACCAAGAGTGTTGAGAATCAAATCTAAGTGCCTGAATAATACTTAAAGCTTCTAACATCAAGTTTACTAATGTCCCATGAGCCAAGGCAAGTCCTGAATCATGTAAGAGTGTCAACATGAAGTATAGATAGAGAAATGTAGCTTTTGTAATCAACAACAATTGCCAATGAATATATATTCACACTGACAGAAAAATACTTTCACCACTCACCCATCTATACTACATCACTCACAGAGAAACTTTTTGAGCAAATCTTATGACAAGATTCTGTTCCTTAGTGATTTCTTTGTCCTCTGCAGCAGACAACAGTAATGTGCTGTATGGTGAATTGGGGGAAAACTTAGAACAGAAAGGGAGAATTTTTTTGAGCTTCTGAGTCATCCAATAGCCGGATGGATCATTCTGTATTTGGCAAATACTCACTCTCTAAAACTTGGCTCTTTCATCATAAAAATGATAGTGTCACATTTGGAACACACACATGTATACAACTTTAATACTTTTCCCAAACTGACAACTCTGAAGTTTTTTTAATTGACTTTTGTCTCTAGAAATTTCTTGGGTTGGCCCAGACCTGACTGTCCTCGATGCCCCATCTTTGCAGTTCAGGGATCAAAAAAGATGCACAGAGCTTTGTATCATTTGAAACTGTATAGGGATTGATGATATTTAAGAAACAGATGTAAAGAACAACATCCACGGAAGAACTATGGACCTTTGTGGTAGACTCAAAGAGGGACCAAGGAAGAGGAAGGAATAGAGATTACTTGACAGCACAAAAAAGAGCACATTTGTTGTGGTTTGAATGTAAAATGTCTTCCATAGTCTCTCATGTGGTTAAATCCTTGGTCCCTGCTATTGGTGCTATTTTGGAAGGCTGTGGAAGCTTTAGGAGGTAGAGCCCTGCTGGAGAAAAGGGTCACTTGGGTCAGAAGTTGAACTTTTCTACTTCACCCCCACTTCCTCTTTCCTCTCTGCTTCCTGCCTATAGACATCATATAACAGCTGCCTTACACTCCTGCCACCTTGACTTCCCAACCATGATGTTTAAAAATATTTTTTTTAAAAATGTGAGCCAAAATAAACCTGGACTCCCTTAAGTTTCTTCTTGACTGCTATTTATTCATATCATCAAAACAGGAAATAACACAACATTCTTATTTGGGGATCAAGCAAGGAAAAGGAAAGACTTGGGTTGTTGATTCTGATCCTAACACCCATCAGTTGACACCTGGATTTTGGCTAAACTTTGGGATCAAACAGACTTGAGTGTAGAGTCTCGTTCAGGTGCCACTTGAAAGAGTCCAAAGGAGGAGGTGTGATGCCAGTGCAAAAGAATGGAGACACACATTGGAATGTGTTGATTGCACACACTCTCTCTGTGTCTTCTTAAGACAACCTCTTTTATTTTTCCTTCTACTAATGAAACTATTATGTGCAGCAAGACATGTAAAACATGGGTTTTATAAAATCAGCTCCCACGAACTTTCAAGATTACATCATAATGTTCACAACCCCTTGTATCTACTTTTTCCTTCCATGTCTGGGGAGCAAAGTTAGTCCCAGGCCATCAATTCAAAGAGCACCACCTCTCCTGGCAGGCCAGGTAGGAAACAGCTCTGAGGTTAACAATTAAATGTTTTTATACTAACTATAATATTCTGGTCTGCCATTCTTTGTGGTTACAAGGTACTAGACGTACACTCATAAGAAACAAATCTAAAAGAGTTACTTTCATTCTTCAAGAGGCATGATGTGGTGTTTCCACCATGTAGCATAATAAGCATTGTTTTCTAGATTTAATTTTAAGTTAACCTTCCCCGTGTCTCTTTGATCTTACTAGAACTATTTTAGGCATAAATGTAGACTTTAAGCCTTCTCTGGGCAATCAGATGTTCTCAAGTTTTCTGTAGCCAGTATACCAATGAGTTCCCTATATCATCTATCCATGAAATATTTCCTGGGATCAGTGCCTCTCAAAAAACAATCAATAAGACACATTAAGTATTCTTTACTGGATTCAATAAGATAAAGTAATTTCTTTTACAGCAGTTTAGGTATTCATAAGATTATGCTGAGTAGGAGTGAAAGAAGCATAGGAACTTTAATCAGTTTTCATAGTATTCCCATTAGTTTCATCTTTTCACACATTCACCAGGGGAATTGTTCTTCATCCTCTCATTATTCTCCTGTGCTAAGATCACCACAAATCACCCAGTAGCAACAGCAGCAAGACCAAGAAAGGAGAGACCCAGAACCAGACATCATTCTGGGGAATCACAGGGGATAGAGTGGCTCTTCTTGCTGGACCTTTGTCATACACCACTCTGCCATCCCCTCTATATCCCTGTGCTGAAACCAGCAGATGTGTGGGTCTTTCCAGCCACCCTTCCAATTTACAGCTGCTTGGTTTAAAGAAGTCGCTTCCCTTCCTTCACTTTGTAGTTACTATGAATACCAAATATAGTAACAGCTACCATGTGGCTAGCACCTTACTAGAAGCAGGTAGTAAGAAGTTCATTACAGTATCACATTTTATACCATCATTGTCCTTGCTTGGAAGCTCAGATAAGATAAGACTTATCAAGGATGCCAGAGGCATGTGTCCTCTCTTTCCCAGGATCACATGGCGACCCCCCCTCTACTACATTTCCCAGAATCCTTCTCAACTCCTAGCCCCACGTATCTTGCTTTCCTATTGGCCAACAGTGCTTTATTTATTAACCAATAAGACAAACATTTACACAGAAGGCCTTCCCCCATCATTTTAATGTTTGTTTGAGTGTTCATTTGGGATCAAGCATCTGGGGATGGCCATTTCTTTAGGAGATCCACAAGCTTTTTAAGCCTTTCCTGAGAAAGAACAGGAGTTTGGGCTGGCAGAGTTCAGACCTTATACTATAGCCCACACAAACTCAGCTCATCCCCTTTTCAATATTTATTCTGTGTTCTTATGACAAAATATGTGAGGCTAAGTACTGAAGGACTTTAGAATTAACAAAGAAATAACTAAGAAGAAAAACAATCCTCTCACCCTAAGAACAGGGAGACCTGACTTAAAACCTAACCAAGGTCACAATGACCCAAGCCCCTGGAATTTCTTAGCTGGCAGATATAACTCCCTTACAAGGCCACAAGACAACCTAACTGAATACCAAGAATTCCTAGAGGGCCACCCTGCCCTAGGGTCATGAAGATAGAAACAGACTATCCCACTGAGCCAGGAGACCATCCGGCCCCAAAGATAAGAGATCTCCAAAGGATCTGTGACTCTGGTCACGTACCCAAACCCCTAAAATCCTATGGTTTTTTCTCCTATAAAAGGAGCCTGCTTTAGAGGAACAAGGCTTCTTCTTTGTCTGTCGGACTGGGAAGCCCGTTTGCGCAAACGTCCCATAATAAACTTACCTCTTGTTTTTGCATCAGCTGGACTGGACATTGAGTGTTTTTGGGGGGATCGTCCGATTTGTAGAGACTCCTCGGTCCGAGGGTCTTTCAGTACTTATAAAGAAAAGTTATTTATTTACTTCACTGTGTTAGAAGCTGTAAATCCAAACTGTAGCAGCCTGTCCAGACTATGGTGAACTGGGTGTTTGACAAAGGGAACAGAAATGCATGTGAATGTTGGGAACCAAAGGGCCCCCCTATGCTGTTAAACATGACAAAGAAACAGGAAGTAAAACAGCTTCTTAAGAAAAGGAACCAAGCACTACTGTCTGTGTGTCTATCTATCTGTTTCTCTTCTTGTTCTTTTTGGGGGGGTATTGGTTTTTTGAGACAAAGTATCTGTATTTTGTTCTGGAACTCACTATGTAGACCAAGATGGCCTTGACTTACAAAGATCCACCTGTCTCTGCCTCTCAAGTGTTGGGATTAAAGGTATGTTCCATTATGCCCACATTCACCTGTCTCTTAAATGAAAGGCACTGAACTTCCACAAGATGGGAAGACCTCTGCGGAGAAAGGAAGCCAAGGGAAAACTTTTAATAGCCCAGACTGGTAGGAAATAACTAATATCCCAGGAGTACTATGCTCATCCATCTAAGTAGAGCACCCCAAATGACTGAACTACCGTCCCCTGAATCCCATCTCTTAAAAGTCTCAACACCACCTCACAGAGGATCTTGCTTCCAATACATGGACCTTGAGGGGAACACCCAGCACCTCTGAGGATGTATCTGAGTCTTAGAAGTGGGTGGGTTTAAAATGTGAAACATGGCGTGCAATCAGTTGCAAGCAGAGAAAGACTGGAATCAGCAAGGCAGGTATTCTGTGTCTGTTTTACTGGTAAGAATTTGAGTCATGTTTAGTCAGATTTGAATTAGCAGCTGAGTGACCAGAACATGTTAGAGACAGAGGCTCGAAGGTGGTGTGCTGATGCTTTCTTCCTCTCTTCCAGACTCCAGATGCTAGAGGCCATCTGTAAGCACTGGGAAGGGCCCATCAGCCTGGCCCTCTACCTGTCAGACGCTGAAGCCCAGCAGTTCCTCCGCTATGCCCAGGGATCCGAGGTGCTCATGAGTCGCCACAATGTGGGCTACCACATCGTGTACAAGGAGGGTCAGTTCTATCCTGTCAACCTCCTACGCAATGTGGCTATGAAGCATATCAGCACACCGTACATGTTCTTATCTGACATTGACTTCCTGCCTATGTATGGGCTCTATGAGTACCTCAGGTAAGGACTCCAGAGGACCTGGCTGGTCTGTCCACTCTTCAGACTGGTAGCCACATAGTATAATGAAGCACTAGACCTGAAGTTCCTCAGGAATACTGTCTAATCTACCACTTACTTTTTTATTAATTTATTTTTTACATTCCAAGCCAAGTCCCCCTCCTTCCTTTCCTCCCAGTCCCCCTACATCCCCCCACTCCCCATCTGATCGTTGGAGAGGATAAGGCCTCCCTTAGGAAGTCTACTACGTCTGTCCCATCATCTCATTGAGGCAGGACAAAGGCATCTCTCCACCCCCACACCCCTGTGTCTAGTCTGGGCAAGGTATCTCTCCATACAGAATGGGCTCAACTAAGTCAGTTTGTGCATTAGAGTTAGATCTTGAACCCACTACTAGTGGCCTCATATATTGTCCTAGTTATACCTATGTTACCTATATTAAGGGAGTCTAGTTCAGTCTTATACAGGTTCCCCATTTGTCAGACCTGAGTCAGTGATCTCTCACTAGTTCAGGTCAGCTGATTCTGTGGGTTTCCCATCGTGGTCTTGACTCCTTTGATCATATTATCATTCCTCCCTCACTTTGATTGTATTCCAGGAGCTTGGCCCAATGGCTGGTTGTGGATTTCTGCATCTGCTTCCATGTGCTTCTAGAAGAGGGTTCTAGCTTCCCTGGGGTTGTGGATTATAGACTGGGTATCTTTTGCTTTATGTCTGGTATCCAATTATGATTGAGTACATACTATATTTATTTTATGGTTCTGAGTTACCCCACTCCGAATGTTACTTTTTTCTAGTTCTGTCCACTTACCTGAAAATTTTAGGATGCCATTTTTCTTAGTGCTGAATACTCCATTGTATAAATGTACCACATTTTCTTTATCCAATCTTTGGTTGAAGGGCATCTAGGTTGTTTCTAAGATCTGGCTATTATGAATAATGTTGCTATGAACATAGTTGAGTAAATGTCCTTGTGGTGTGAATGTGCCTCCTTTGGGTATATGCCCAAAAGTACCACTTGCCTTTTATAGCTATAGCAACTGCAACACAAAAAGGAACAGGGACCTGCCTAGAAATTGTTCCTGCCTACAGGAAGGTGTATACAAAGTTCTATTATCCCATGCAAAGACTGGACCTGAGTTTCCATAGTGCCATGTTAAATTGGTCTAGAAAGATCCCTTTTGATCAAAAGGCCTGCCCCTCTTCCAATTTTGCAGCCAACAGGCTTCCTGTAACCATTCTCAAAAGATCACTGCCTGCTCTTTAAAACAAATGTGAGCAATAATGATGCCTAGCATGTATTGAAGCACTTGATGGCTACCAGAAAGTGATTGACAGATACGTCTCATTCTGTTTCCTCCTCTCATAGTGTCTGCCACAGGTCATACTATTGTCTTCATTTTACAAATGGGAAACTGTAGAACTTTGTACAGATAGAGCAGAGGAGCTGGGGAATCACAACACAAGACACCTATTCTCAGAACAGTATAAATCTCCAGTGTCCTTTTCCACATCACCAAGAGTACACTGGTACAAGGCTGGGTGGCTCTGTAGGGAATTACATTTATTGCAGCATCTTAAACAATATAAATTGAAAGGGAAGTAGAATTCACACAGCTGGAATTTATACATGGGAGAAAAGTAAAGTCACTAGGTATACATGGTCCAATAACATCATTAAAGTGTCCTTTTCCAACTGTCATTTGTCAGCATGGATTTCCTCTGTGTCTAAGAGGATGACTTAGAGATGGCTTATACATCTCATCCTTTAACAGGGAAGGTACATACTAAGCCTCAAAAGCATGTGGGACTGCCCTGTGTTACATCATGGGCCAGTAAGGCTTGGACAGGCAAAAGAGCAGGCTTGAGTCTGGATAACTTGGAACCACAAGACTTGAAGCAGTATCAGACAGGCCCCTCACTCAGATCTCGACAAACTTCTCTGAGGTTTCTTTCTGTACCAGAATATGATCTAGAGAGGTTTACATCCCTCCCTGCTTTCTCTCCCTCCCTCTCCAGCAAGAGAAGGCATCCTACATTCTGTATTCAACCTTTAGAGTTTCATTACAAGGTGTTGTTTTGGGTAGCATGACCTCAGTCCCTTCCTAGTAAACATGGAAGTGCCCCATCAATTGTCAGGGAACCAAAGGTTACTGGCCACAAGCAATATAACCTTCCACCACATAAGGGGGTGGATCTATACTGCAAAGCCCTGTGAGTGAAATAGGACTCCTGACTGCCAGACTCCATTCACTGATTTTTCTCCAGGTCCAGCCCAAGCTGGGTGACAAAATTCCAATATGTAAGACAAAGCACTTCCCACCCCATGTGATCAGAAGAAACTCTCAGCTCTTCCTTGTCTCTGTCAGCTTGGCAATTTTGCCAGTTAGCAAGATGCTAGGCTGCATACTGGGGGAGTAACTAGGTTGCTAGGGCCATTCTCAGCTTAGAGTGAGAAGAGAGAGGCTGGAGGACTATGTTCTGACCATTCTTCACCTTCTGAGATTTTTCTAAGAGGCACCCAAGGGGTGTTTACCACAATAAATTGAAATGTTAAATAGGCCCTACTCTAGTCTCAGTGGCCCATTTTCCAACTTTATCTCATGGGCAACATATCTTACAACAGCACATAGGAGTAGGTGTTTGTTTCTTCCCTGTATGTCATTGAACAAAGACTTAAAATTGCTGACAGACACCATACTCAGTGCTAGGCAACATACGTTACTGCTAGGTATACATGGTCCAATAACATCATTAAAGTGTCCTTTTCCAACTGTCATGTTTCACTATGGACTTCCTCTGTGTCTAAGAGGATGGCTTAGAGATGGCTTATACATCTCATCCTTTAACAGGGAAGGTACATACTAAGCCTCAAAAGCATGTGGGACTGCCCTAGGCAACATACGTTACTGCTAGCTGTTTTACTTAGTTCAAGGGTCACCATATGAATCTCATCAGTAATTTTGAGATATTGCAGATTGCCCTTCAAACTCCATCACTCCTTTTGTCCAGGAAGGGTAGTATTCAAAGGAGTCCATAGGCCTATCTAAGCAAAAACCACAGCCCCCCACCAAGGTATGGAATTACCTCTCTGTTGGAACAGGATTGGAGTTACTAGCTCTTTATGCTTTTCCAGGGGATCAGAATTTTCATGTCTTTTAATGTTTTAATGTTACCAAATAGTCGAGACCAGAAGATCCCAGTACCTACATAGAAGCTCACAGCCATCCATTACTCCAGAGAGCTGGACCTCTCTTAAACCCAAGCACACATGTGATTCACACGCATATGTGCATTCAAAATGCTGATATACATAAAATAAAATAAAAAATCTTAAATATTGAGCAAGTAATTGAAAATGAGTTTTTAATGCTATGGAACCAAACTATATCCCTGGGCAACATTAGCCCTCTTTCACCTGATCACCAATGTATAACCACTGACCTAGATTGTTGCCAGACACCAGAGAGCCACTAAGAATTCAGTTAAAAGGCTATAATAAATGCACTCTCTCGTTTTTGTACATAGACAGATACATTGACTTGCCTTGCTTGGATGTAGGTTTCTGCTGCCCAGTTCCACAGTCCTTCAGTCCCATATAAGCACACTGAGGCTTATATTAGTTACAAACTGTTTGGCTGATGGCTCAGGCTTCTTATTGGCTAGCTCTCTCTCAATTATTAATCCATTTCTATTAAACTATGTATGTCCATGTGGTCTTGACTTACCGGAGAATGCCCCGACCTGTTATTCCTTTGGTGGGTACTGCATTTCTCTTCCCAGCATTCTCCTTATCTGGTAGCCCCACCTATACTTCCTCCCTGGCTACTAGCCAATTATTGTTTTATTAAACCAATGAGAGAAACATATATTCACAGCATACAGACAGGACATCCCCCATCACTTGAAGAAAAATGTTTTTAGTAATTAGCAGGTTTTTGCTTCTGATGTGTGAATCACCCATGGGTACATTTAAATCAGCTATTACTGATTTAAAGTGAGGTTAAGGGTGCTATTTGCTGCAATATCTGTGCTGTCCATGACGGCTAGAAGATCCTCGCAGAGACTCACTTTTTCACATATAAATCTAACAAAAACGTTTCACCCAAACTTTGTTAAGCTTCAAATAGTAATATCACAAATACTGCATACTGGAAGCTCTGCCAGGCCGAGGTGAAGGAGTAGTGTCAGAGAGAAGAGAAAGAGACCTTCCACCGCACAGCTTGCTTATTGGACAACAAGAGCAGGTTACCCTTGCACCCCAAACGTCTGCTCATGTCACACTTATTGAGGTCCTTTTAGTTTCCAAAAAAGTTCAGTATTGCAGCTCACTGAGCCGTTGCTTAGGAACCATCTAATATAGCAAAAACAAACTGCTCAATTGGAAAATAATGAAGTCATGTCTATGCATACACAGAGCTGCAGAGCTTCACCAAAGTCTCTTCTAGCCATTACCTGTGTCTGGTAAAATAACTGTTAGAGACACAGCTTTTACTTTTGATTGTTAGTAAGGTCAGAGGGGCATAGAGAAGCCACACAGACCTGCATTTGAACAAGTACATGAGTAGGGGCAGCTTGCTCCATTTCCCAACACTAGTTTTTTCTTAACTAATGAAGAGGCAATAACAGCCTACTGCTGGGTTATAGTAGGTACTACACAGGAATTACTTCTCTATCCCATGGCAGGCTCATGACTGTCAGTTTGGGACTAATTTGCCAGTCCACACAGCAGGACCTCCCCTTGCAAGGGCTCTGCCACCTTCAAGACAGTTGTGTAATTGCGTGGAACTATTGCATTCTCTTTTTTTCCATGAACATGAGAATCATAAAGGGTCTCTCATCTATGATGGTTCACTTTCTGATTTTTCAACTATGTAATGATGCATCCACACAGACTTTGACTTTGACTTTGACTTTGACCTTTGCTCTTTTTCCCACCCAGCAATCAGCATATAATCTTTTCTTGATGCTGGGCTGAACAGTGAGAGAAGCTCCTAGTCAGC